CACACCGACACTTCACACTCACCCACACTCTTATGAAAAATATTTTACAATATTTTAATAATACACTTTCTTATTCTTTTACATCTTACACAAATTTTATATATTTCTTGAACATGAAATATATTTAAAAAAAAACAAAAATGTTAACATTTATTTAAGTTTTCCAAGTGCTAAATGATAATAACGACCACGTAGATCAAATAATTCTTGATGAGTTCCACTTTCAACTATAACTCCATTATGTAAAACACAGATCATATCTGCATTTTGAATTGTTGATAAACGATGTGCTATTGTAATTGATGTTCGATTTTTTTGAGCTTGATTTAATGCTTCTTGAACTATCCTTTCATTTTCACTGTCTAATGCACTTGTTGCTAAATGATTATATACACATTATATAACAATGATTGTTTCAATCATCCTACCTTCATCAAATAACAATATCTTTGGATCTCGAATTAATGCTCGAGCAATTGCTAAAAAATAATAGTAGATAGTTTTCTTCTTTGTAAACTCCTTTGAATATGTGTTCTTACCAATTCGTTGTTTTTCTCCACCTGATAATTGAGTTCCTTTTGCACCACAATTTGTATCATATCCCTGAAAAAAAGATATTTTCGCTTTTTTTTTGGAGAAAGATAAATGCTCATTGTGTAACTTACATTTGGAAGTTTTTGAATAAAATTATGTATATTAGCATTTTTAGCTGCTTCAATGATTTCTTCAATAGGAATATTACTTCGACTATTATCACCATAACCAATATTGTCTTTTATTGACATATCAAATAAGACTGGTTCTTGTGAAACAATACCAACTAAAAGATATCCATGTTAAATAGAAAAGAAAGAAGTCGAAATGAAGTGTATGATATACTTTGTGATCGATACCATTGAAGATTCAGACTTCGAATATCTTTTGAATTAATTAACTATGAAAATAAAATAAAAGAGTGCACATGTGAAAAGAAATGAACTAACCAGTTGACCAACATTTGAATCATAGAAACGTTCGATTAATTGAATGATCGTTGATTTTCCACAACCAGATGTACCTTCATAGATAAATGGATTTATTGAAATTAAAGATATTACAAAGACAAAAAAAAGAAAACTGATGTTTACTTACCAACGAGTGCAACCTGTTGACCTATGAAAATAAAAATTCATATAAATGAATAAATAAATGAATGCAAAGATGACATACCAGCCCGAATTTTAAGTGTAAAATCTTTAAGAACAACTGATTCAGGTCTGTTTGGATAAATGAAATGAACATTAACAAATTCTAAATCACCATTAAAGTTTGGCTGAAACAAAAGAAATAGAAAGAGAAAACGATCAATATTATCCAAATTTGTGAATATTGACTAACTATTTCATCACCATCAGATGAACCATTATCAATAGACGGTGTTCGATTCAATAGTTCTAAAATTTTTTCAGCAGCTTGAATAGCTTTGCTATAATCTGGAGCCCTAATAAATCAAGCAAAGAAAAAATGTTTATATGATTTTTGTTTGATCATTTCGAATATTTACATAGATGCTGTTTGTCCAACATGTTGTGCACCAAATAAAATACAATTAAAACACCTAGAATCACATGAAATTATAGTATTCTAGAGATAGTTTTATTCTTACAATAAAAAAGCTTCAAATGTGATTTTATCTTTCTGTACTAAATAAGCACCTAATCTAAACAGTGCTCCTAAACTACAATACATAATTGAGGTTGATAATGAATAGAATAAACCAAAGAGATTTGCTCTTTTTTTAGATGATCTATAATACAAATATTATAATAGATTCTTAATTAAATACAAAAAAAAAGTATAATACCGATAAGGATTTTCAAGAAGTGAACAATATTGTTCATAAAAATATTCTTCTTTAGTTAATTGTACAACTGTTCGAATATTTTGTATAGATTCTACTGTTACCTAAAGAACATATATAAATTAAATAAATAATATTTATTATATAAATAATAAACGAACCTTGCCAGCATTTTCTATTGATTTTTTATCTTTACTAGCAAATCCTTTCATTAAATAATTTTTTAAAAAACTTCCAGCAACCATAAATGGAACAAAAGCAAGAACAAGTAATGCCAATTGCCAAGAAAACACAAAATTAATTATAATACCAGTACTAAGTGTAGCTATGTTTTGTAACATTGTTCCAATACGAATACCACTTGCTCCTTGTACAGCAGATGCTTCAGTGGCTAAACGTGTACATAATGCTCCTGTATTGTTATCTGGATGATCAAAATAAGCAATTTCTTGACGTAAAATAGCACGAAATGTTTTAGAACGAAGTCTTTTCGTTAGTGCTTCACCTGAACAAGCAAATAAAAAACTCTAGATAAAACAAAAAACAAAAAATAAAAGAATACACATATTTCGAATCATTCAAATAGAAGAACGCACTTGAATAAACATTGTAGTTAATGATAGAACACCTAAACCAATAAACCAAATTATATAGACTAGAATTCGGTGTTTTTGAACTTCTTTATCACATTCTTGAAAGACCTTTTCAATAAGATCAATATGTTAATATAAAGATTAGAATAATATGAAAAAAAAATAAGACCTACTGCAGTTAACTTGCTTAGAATAACACCAAATGCTAGTTGAATACCACCATTACATATACATACGATACATCCAAATACTATTAATGTCCATTCTGGTTTGTTCATAATTAACACTTGTAAAGCAGTATTAGGCTTTTTTTCCTAAGAAATCATATTGATTGAAATAAAACTAATTTTCAATTTTACCTTTTTCTTTTTTAATTCAGTAGTTTGTTCTTCAACTTCTTCTTCATCTGTTAGTAAATTTTTTTTTTTACTATTTAATTTATTCATAGCTGATGATGCTACACTAGCAACAGTTGAAGCATATTTTCTTTCAACACCTACTTGAATTTCTTCAATATGATTTGGTACATTTGATCCACTACGTTCCTGTAGTTCAAGAGCTAATTGTTCTTCTTCTGCAGCTTTACGTAAATTTTGTTGTTCAACAAGAGTAAAATAAGTTCCACGAGCATCTATCAATGATTCATGATCACCTTCTTCAACTACATTACCTTTATGCATCACAATAATTTTATCAGCTGTACGAATTGTCGATAGACGATGTGCAATCACTAATGTTGTACGACCTAATACCAATAAACAATATCATTATTGAGATACTTCAATTGAACTTCTAGTATACCTTCAGCAGCACGATTCAAAGCTTCTTGAACGAGTTTTTCACTTTCATTATCAAGTGCACTAGTAGCTATTACGTATATAGAAAAAAGAAAGATACAATTATGAGAAGAAAAATAAATGAATATTTACCTTCATCAAGAAGTAAAATCTTTGGATCTCGAATCAATGCTCGAGCAATGGCTACGAAGAATTTTATAAAAAAAAAGATGATCAACATTCTCATATATATTCTTATTACGTGCTTACCAATTCTTTGTTTTTGTCCACCTGAAAGCGTAGCTCCACGTTCACCTATTCGAGTTTCATATTTCTATAAATACACATGTACAAACAATACAAATAATCAAACAAAAAAAAACTACGAAGAATAACATTAATATTATTAATGTATCACGTACATTAGGTAAAGTCATAATAAAATCATGCGCATTAGCCATTTTTGCTGCTTCATAAACCTCTTTATCAGTTGCTGTATCTTTTCCAAATAAAATATTTTCTCGAATAGTTGCTTGAAATAAAATTGGCTCTTGACTAACAACACCAATACGTTGTCTTAACCATTTTAAATTATATTCAGTAATTTGATGGCCATCAATAAAAACTGAACCTGAATCAGAATCATAGAATCGTTGTAATAATTGTACACATGTTGATTTTCCTGAACCAGATGATCCAACAAGAGCAATAGTTTGACCATGTTTGACATCAAATGAGACACCATTAAGAATTTTAATACCAGGTCGTGATGGATAAGAAAAATGAACATTTGAAAAATTAATATTACCAATAAGATCATCTTTTTTCAGACCAGTTTCTGAATCGCTATTGATTTTACATGGCTATAAAATTGATAGGCCGCGAATAAAATATTTTTATCTAGATGAAATTTAATTATCTACTTACTGCATCAATAACTTCCCATACAATGTAAGCAGCAGCTCGAGCTTGAGCTAAAGCTTGAAAATGTGGACTAGCTTGACCCAAATTAAAAATACCGATGATAATCCACCAGAATACCTAAAAATAATAATTTTTATTGAAAAGACAATGATCAAAATGACTGTAAGAGCTCTTTTTATAGAGAAATATCTCAACATCATTTATCTCAATAGCAACAATACGATATCAATTCATACTTTATTTCTAACGAGCATCCAATATGATCTTCGAATAATATGAAACAAATTATCAAATTTATCTAAGTAAAATTAACTTACAATGAGAACATCTCCAATTTTATATCCTTCGTCTCGAATTAATTTTCCTCCATACCAAAATGCTGTTGTCAAAATATACATTATATAAAAAATAATTTAATCATTAGTATAAACTAAATACCTAATGCATATGCACAAAAGATTATAAACCGCACAGATCCCATTGTTACACCATTGATTATACCTTTCTTTATACCATTTCTTTTAGCTTCGTCAAGATGTTTCTTATATCTATTAGAAACAAGTATATTATTGTAAAAAAAAATAATGAGATGATTTATTATTGAAATCCAACCTTTTCTCTTCTCGCTCTTGTCCATTGTAAGATAGCACTGTACGAATTGAACTAAATACTTCTTCAGCTATTGCTCCTGCTTTACCATACGCTTTTAATTCCATTACTGTCAAATCGGAAGCAAGCTACAAATAGATATAATGATCTATTTTTATTTTTGCTTTCGAATATCAACAACTTACTTTGGAAAAGAATGTAGCTGCAACAAATAGTAATGGAGCCGTAGATAATACAACTAGTGTGAATTTCCATCCTTTAACAAAAGCTGTACAACAAATATATTAAAAATAATAGCTTTCTATTCATATATAAACTTGCCAAGAATCAATCCGGTAAAAAAAACAGCTATAAATTGTGCTGTTGAACCAAGTTTATCTCCGATTCCATCATGAATTTTATCTACATCATCTGTCAAATTTATATTAAGTTCACCAGTTTTATGTAAATCAAAATAAAGAATTTCTTTTCGAAGAATCGATTGAAATAATTTCTTTCTAATAGCTTTTGTTTGTCTTTCCGCTGCCATACTCCAAAATACTACTTGAGTGTAACCCAATATAATACTAACGCAAGCAATAGCAACTGCATAAAGTGTTTGCTTTTTTATTTGGCCTTGAAAATCGAACATAGTTCGATTAAAATGGCAAACACTAAATAATAATTATTATTATTTTAAACTTTGTTTTAGTTTTTGTTTGTTTAAATAGATACTTACGCAACTGATGATAGATAATTCGATGCTGTTAATTGATAACCTGGTGGACAATAGCCAATAGCAAGAGCTGTAAAATTAAGTCTACATAAATCAGTAGATCGATCAGTAAATGAATTTAGAAGATTGCCAAATACAAGAACCATGAGTTGGAAAAGAAAGCCATTAGCTAGACCTCCGAGAGTACCGACTAACATGTAAATTATATCGATCATTGTAGCATATCGAAACTAAAATAAGTGTTACAATTTTTTTACAACAAAATAAAACATTATCTCTTACCAAACTTGCAAGGCTGACAGCATTTGCAGATTTTTTATTTTCTTTTTTATCATCAAATCTTTGAAAGAACTTTGGTCTTTTGAAATTTTCTTCATTAGTGGAAGCAGTAGCACTATATAAAAGAAGAAGAATATAATATCAAGTTTATCGTTTATCATACTTTGCATCACTAGTTTCATTTTGATTGTCATCAAACATTTCTTCTTTATTATTAAATATCTCTGTATTATATTTATTATCCATTATGAGACCTCTACTCGAAGAAAGTACTCAAAACGAGCAGATGTGAATGGTTTGACTCTACAGCATCATTCTTATAAATATTTCAACCGTCGCAAGTTTTCACACTTGAATAAAATGTGTTAGGATTTAACCAAATACACATATTGACTCATATTAATATACGTATACAATATGACGTGTTTTATTATTTTTATCATATACTGTATGAATACAGTGCAAACAAATGCGCACTGAAAGAACGGCTAGTATGTAACCTTTAAATAGAATAATATAGGTAATATTTTCGACTAAGGAAGCACTAGACTATTAGTTCTTTATTCTCAACTTTTTCGACTTTTTTAATTGTTAAATATTTTAAAAGCTTTGCTTACTTTTTTATAAATCTCAACTTTGCCTGATGCATATACAAAAAAGCATAATCCTGTATTCGAAATAATAATAATACCATAAAACATGATTAATAATTAGTTCCAGTGATTTTCATTTGGATTATACCTTGGTTTTTCACATCATATAGCGAATATACAAAATTTAAATAAAAACCTTTTTATTCGCATAAATCCACATAATATGCCAAGACCATTATTTACTTGGAATTACTTTAGTTACTTTTGCAAATAAGGTCGAATGAGCTACTAGATATTGAATGAATTTATTCGTAGTTCTACAAGTAGTACTGGAAAGATGAGAAATCACTTATTGACAATTCATCGGATAACATAATCTCAATAGGATGGTAAAATAAGAGTCGAGAAAATGTTTTTTCTCCTTTGTGAAATTTGCTTCGCAAGACAAGTATCATAGATCTTCAAATAATTATTTTATATACAGTATGTATTTAGAAGAAAAAAGATCAATTAAAATTAGCTTCTATATATCCAACAATAAAATGTAATATTTAGTGTGATAAATACAAGTATTAATCTTACATTTATTTTATCATTTGTTATCTCGATTCGAATTTATAATTGCAGCAGTACAGTTTAAGAAATAGAACCATTTGATGAACCATACACAGAAGAAGCTATCAAAGATCTTTTTTTCTATTGCTATAAACGAATTTAATTCAAATTTGGAACAATATAATCATGGTGAATAAAGCATACGTAATAATTTTTATCAATTATCTTATGTTTTTTGCTTTTTCTTTGACAAGATCTCTGATATTGGTTCACACAGGCATAAAGTATGAAAACCATTGATGATTATACATATGCTTTGCATGGCTCATGGTATTCATAATTAGTTAATCACAAATAGTGTTAGAGAACACTTACAAATCTTTTACTCTTTACTTTGTTCAGCGCTTCATCTTTCGATAAATATATCAACTTGTATTTCTTTCTTTTTCTTCTTACTTTTTCACATTCTCCTACCTACCATACATATTTATGTCATTTCTTGTCACTAAAAATATCCACTGCTGCACATGTATGGGACATTGTTTTTTTTCCTTCGTGCGCAATACGAACACGTCATTAAAATTATGCTCTATCTTTTTCTCTCTATTCTTTATAATCTACGTATTTTTTTCTGTGTGTTAGTATAAATAGAGTTTACTATTAGTAAATTATGATTATTATTTTTTGTTCGTTGGATGAAATTAAATCTCCTGATCGATCAGTAAGTAAAAAATTGGACTTTGTAGTAAATAAGCAAATGTGATAATAATTTTTTTTTCTATCTAGTGACAGATAAAGAGATGTCTTCTCCCGATAAAAGCAATCCTGCATGATATTCGTCTCATCTTTTTCTTTCCAACGGATATATATCAAGAAAGTAGCATCTTTGTGTGGTTAAAGCAAACAGCCACAACACTATTATTCGAAATATCCATTTTTACAATACGCCGTTAGATATTCTACCAATGCTCAATATAAAAGTTGAAGAATAATGGTACAAACATTCTTTTTTTTATCTAGATGCAACAAGGAGCGTGTCTTCCTAATTTAGAGATCCACTATGACATTCATCTAACGAACACTCGTCTTCACAGCCGAGGCTTATGTGTTTGAACTCTCTCGGCTGTCCGTGTGGGTGGACGAAGGTAGGAATATATTTTTTTTTGAAGCGAAATAAACAAAGTGGTAACTCTTCCCAATTTCAAGCTTCACCTAGACTCTATTATCGTGAACAATGGTCTCCGTACGTAGCCGTAACATTTTTTCACTCCTTTGCTTACCTGCTTTAATGGACTATAATTCAATCAGTTTTTCCTGAACGAGATAGATGAATTTGTGTGTCTTCTAGATTCAGGAATCGACTATGCCGCTGATTTCAGTAACATTTGATTTGATTCACATCAATTGTATAATCACATCCCATGGCTACACACGTGTAACGACAAAGGTAAGAACATTTCTTTTTCAGCTCTCTATATACACTATCCTGTGTGTTCTACATTTGAGAATATACCGTCAGATCATATTTATGAACATTCGTCTCGAGGGTGTTGATGTGGGGTGTGGATGTGGCGTCTTCCTTTACCCACACCCGATATAGATGGAAAACAACAGAACAAATGTAAAATTATGTCATCGTATAGTAAAAATACATTAGTTCGCTAGTTTAAAACAGCCTATATGTACACTATACGAAGAATGGGAAAACATTCGATGGTATGGTATATGTCACTATTAAACAGTGTTAATGTAATTGCACAATGTCAGTAACATTCAACATAAAGTTAGTTTATACAGAATTTACTTTTGCAGTTTTTCTGCAAAAGTAAATCCTGTCATTTTCGGTAGTCTTTCTTTATACGTTGTCAATTACATATCTTTTCGCTGCTGTTAAAACAAAATATGTTATATCTAAAAAGTCGTTCAATATATACTAATATAATCAAAACTGATTTCTTTTACATATATTGTATTGAAGAAGGCACAGCAGACATCATGGACGAAATAGCGTTTCGTCTGATTCTGCTGCGCCCACATCGAAAAGGATGAGTTGTAGATGTACTTGCTTACCGTGTTATATTTCATTGGTGAAAACTGCATTGGTTGGCGAGAATGTTGTTTAATTTTCGATAGTAGCATAGCTTTACGAACACGCATCTGCCTTCCTGGAAACTCATATAATGCATCATATGTATGGTTTCATGTGATAATTAACATGAAACAAGTGTCTGTTGAAGAAACATTATCATGTTTGCTGAGTGTTACTATGTGTTATCATCAAGATACTGTGTCTATTGAATAATCTGTTTTCGATTTCATAACACAAGGTTGTTTTATTGTGAAAAATACAATTATAAATCATTTTGTTTCTTACTAGCTTGCAAGAAAATGTCTCTTTAGGTGCTAAGCTTTTTATAACTCTGATTACATCATGCTTTTGTAAATCAATGCGCACAGTATTGCATCCTAGTCGAAGGTATTTCTTCGTTTGTTCTTTGAGGTCTAATACACTCCAATAACAATTATTTTCAAATGGTGGAAAAGTACTATACTAGATTTTTCAGATGTCTTGCATGATTCATATGTTCGATCTATTTAAGTGATATTCAGGTTCTTTTGAAGTATTAAGCCATGACTAAATATCGTGCATTCTCAACTATGATAATTCTTCGAAATCAAGATGTGTCAGATATCCATCCAGGAAATCGAGATGCTGGAGAAGTGTAGGAATATACCAAACTATCTATAAGCAGATGATTCTATTATAGCAGGTATAGATATAACATCCGTGTATCTCCAAGTACATCTTCCGGCATCTTCTGAAGAAATTTGTTGTTTATTTTTAGTTTAGGACTCTTGCAGGAGATGCATCTCTCTATACTTCTTCAACATTTATCGATATTGGGAATATTGACATCGCTATTGAAATCAAGGAAACTAGGTCACTCTAGAATTCGTTGAAACATTCTTAGTTTCACTCTTACTTTTAGTATCATACTTACTCTCAAGATAATGCTGAGATGATACAATGAGAAAGATTTTAATCGGTAATATTTCAAGGAAACAATGAAAACTAAAATCATCGAAACTCCAAAATACTAATACTGTGCTTGTCTCAAATATAAATGATTGTTTCTGCTCATGTGCTAGAAATTCACTTATCATTTCTAATGAGTTGTTCGACTGGCTTCTTATAATTTCATCGAAACTCTCTTTGCTGAAAAGTTCATTTTCGCACTGCTTAATATTTTTCTTTTCAGATTTTCTTTATAAACTTCGTCATTTAAGTATATTAAAAAAAGCATGGTGCCACCATTGTACGTATTACGGCAAGTATTCGAATCAGCAAAAATGCATCCTCAAAAGGTAGCTGTAGTGCTTGATGATCAAGTCTGGACCTACAGTGAATTGACTGAAGAGGTCGAGCGTGTAGCGCATCATCTATACCGTTTACACGTCGCTCAAGGACAAATTGTTTACCAGTTTGTGGAACGAGGACTTGAAATGATTTGTGGTATGTTGGGTATAATGTGTGCTGGTGGTGTATACTGTCTATTAAATCCAGCAGATCAGTATGAACGTTTTGTTTCAGTTCTCGGTCAAATAGATGGTCAATGTGTTCTACTGCATGGAATAACTCGTCATAAGTTTCCATCAACAGCTGTTCCACATGTCGTTCGATTGGATGATATTCTCGTCCCACTGTTAAGGGTTGAAGATATAGACGATATTCCAGATTTTCAAGAGTGCGGTCCTGCATACATTGTTTTTACCTCAGGTACAACTGGACGACAAAAGTAGTAGTGCACATTCACAAAAGTTTTTCGGCAGGTATTGCTTCTCTTACTCAATGGTCATTCAGAAAAAAATTGGTATGGCGACCAAGTTCTTCAGGTTTCTACCTGTTCATGGATCACACGTCTGGTAGAAATAGCATTGGTTCTGACAGCTGGTGGCACTCTTGTGCTTATATGACCAGGTGCCGTTTATGATATAGCCTATTTTTGTCGAACTCTTGTATATCAACAAATAACAGCACTCTTAATCAATCCTGCTCTAATTCGAGCTCTTTGCAAGTATCTCGAGATGAGTCAACGA